AATAATACACGCTCGAGAGCCGTCTGGGCAGGGGGGTAAACGAATCCCACCGCTGCCACCAAATTATAATAACTCTTTATGCTATTTGGGCAGGGGGCCAAAAGAATCCCACCACTGCCACACCAATTCTAATCACCAGGCAGATGGCAATGTGATCAATCCCACCATCTACCCCTAGTCATAAAGGCAGTCTTTATGGCCAAACAATGTAACTGGACAGGGGGCAAACAGATCCCAACACTGTCCCTCCTTTAATAAGGAATTCACACCACTTTGGCCCCTATAGCGTTTGAGGAGATGTCTCTTTATTAAAACCTTCGCTGCCACCATAAACTGAAGAATCAGGAACCCTCTGGCTATTTAGAATGTTAAAAGGCTTTTCTAGGACCACCAAGTACTGTATATTACCAAGGGCTTCTTTGAGGGGAAACAGGAGAGGTTGATTCAAAAAGAAAAGGGACTCAACCCACAAATGGCACTTGACTCAGGCTTAATTTTTTAAAAGTAACAAGACAGGTTTATTGAATACAAGTTACAGAATAAAAGTGAATGCAGGTTCAAAAGCTTGGCTGTTACAATCAAAGTGCTCTTGGTTCTTAGTAGCGTAACGGTTGCTTTGAGAGAATGGTTCTATTCTTTGTTACAATTCCTAAACAAAACCCAGCTATTTCTCCTCTAAAATAGCTGAAACCAGTCTGCCACAGCCTACTTTGCTGTGCAAACTACAGGCAAGCTGCCTATTTCCTAACAGAGACTCCTAAAACTCTAATCCTACTCCAACATCACCCAGAACTAAACTCCACTCTCAAAATAAGCTTCTCTCTTTTTCCCTCCATCTGTCTAACTCTGCCCCCCTTTTCCAAACCAATCCTGGCTGTTGCTGGGCTGGCTCAGGCCTCGGCCACTCCCCCTCTCTGAACTGGAGCTTCCCTAAACTAAGATGGCTCCTGCAGCTCTCTGCCAGGCCTACTAAGCTGAAACTACCTAGCCTGTCTCTTCCTGGGCCCTGCCACCCTGGCTGGCAAGGTAAGGGATCTTCACATTCGCCAATTCATAAATCCATAATCCATCCAGCATTATCATAGTCCTTTCCTATTCTGGTCGTCATTGTCTTTTATCCATCTGCCAGCTTACCCAAAGGCCTGGTCCCATATCCAGGTTTTTAACTTCCTTGTCAAAGAGAGGAGGGATGATGATGACCTAATTTCCCCAGGGAGTTAATTCCTCAGGCGAGGGGCCACCACCGAGAAGGCCCTGTCCCTTGTCCCCACCAGTCTCACTTGTGATAAAGGTGGGGCTGAGAGCAGGGCCTCCCCAGAGGATCTTAAACTTCAAGGTGGGACATAGAAGGAGATCTGTTCGGACAGATAGCTGGGCCGGAGCCATATAGGGTTTTGTAGGTCAAAACCAGCACTTTGAATTGTGCTCGGAACTGGATCGGCAGCCAGTGGAGCTGACATAACAGGGGGGTGGTATGCTCCCTGTATGATGCTCCGGTGAGTAATCTAGCCGCCGCCCGTTGGACTAATTGAAGTTTCTGAACAGTCTTCAAAGGCAACCCCACGTAGAGCGTGTTGCAGTAATCTATTCGGGATGTAACAAGAGCGTGGACCACTGTGGCCAGATCAGACTTCCCAAGGTACAGGCGCAGCTGGCGCACAAGTTTTAATTGTGCAAAAGCTCTCCCAGCCACCACCGAGACCTGGGGTTCCAGGCTCAGCGATGAGTCCAGGATCACTCCCAAGCTGCGAACCTGTGTCTTCAGGGGGAGTGTAACCCCGTCTAACACAGGCTGTAACCCTATGCCCTGTTCGGTCTTACGACTGACCAATAGGACCTCTGTCTTGTCTGGATTCAGTTTCAATTTGTTAGCTCTCATCCAGTCCGACACAGCAGCCAAGCACCGGTTCAAGGTTTGGACAGCCTCCTTGGTAACAGGTGAGATACCTTCTATGATCAGTGATGTAACTGTTTTTTAACCACTATTTTTAAGGATTGTTGTTTAATTCTCTTTTTAAAAATGTTTGTAAAATAAGACTTAATAGACTTTTATTTCAAATTATTGTAAATTGCCTTGGGTCCCATGCCGGTTGAAAGAGAGAGGATAAATGCAATCAGTCAATCAATCAATTGATCAGAATTGAATAAAGAAAGAATCCATGATGATAATAGGATGATGATGAAATACTACATTGAAATGCCCCTTCCCCATTTACATCAGCTGAATTATAGCTGTTCCTCAATATTGTATTTGTCTGCTAGACCGATGTTAAAGATGAAAAATCTCTTGGGGGATTGGGGAGAGGAAGACTGATTTCTAGGATGGCTAATATGCAGGAAATAAAATTCGAACAGTGTATTGAGCCTATATGAAGTCTTTTGAGTTTCATTTTTTCTCATAACATTTTAAACAATATTTGAAGCTCCCAAGTGAAGACATTTGTAAAAATGTGTACATTCATATTAAAAACAAGCTGAAAGAATGTTCTTACTGATCTGCACAAAAGGTTCATCCTCTCACAAATCTCGTTCTCTTCCAGTGACCTCAGGACAGTTTCCATGGATGCTCTCACTTAGGGCAAATATTGGCTCCCTCTATCATTGAATGACCCTCTTTTAGAAAACATTCATCTCTATAAAAGGATTTCTTATCACCCTGTCTCTTGCTGGAGTCTCAGAGATCAGCACCTTTTCCAAAACCTAATTGGCCCTTTGTGCTTCATCAGTTTAATTTTTTTCTCCACCTTCACATTCCACCTTGTCTTGTATCCTTGCTAAGGATGATGAAGGAATTTGATCTTTGCTAATTTTGATACAAACTGACTTGCTCTGCAGCTTCTAGATTAATCTGTAGACTGAAATGAACTAGATGTTCCAAGATGTTCTGAGAAACTTTCCCATTAAAAAGACGATATTTCAAATTATACATTTGAAAGACATATTTTAGAATGTATACTTTGAGAGAAAATACATACCATATATAATTCTTTTGATATATATTTTATAAATTAATGTGGGGGTGAGATGGTACTGTTTATGCACATAAAAAAATGAAATGGGCTGGAAGTAGATTCAACCAGATCTAATATGTGGTTTTGTATATCTGCATTTTCAGTTCTTGCATATATCATTGGATCAAGTTGTGTAGTTTGTTTTTGTTTTGTTTTTTTTACCTATGGATAGATTTATCAACTTGAACCAAATAAGTATGGGATACATTTTCAATTTTTTATAGGTTTCTAATATTCTGGTTCGCTGAGTGTTGACTGACTTTTTTCTTTTTTAGGTTCCATTTCTGGAAGTTTGACATCTTATAACATCATATTTCACTTTAAAGTTTAAAGCAATGCTTTCCATTGTTTCTGTAAATAAATCACTGTGCTGCTTCAAAGCTGATTTTGATAGTCACTATTTTGTTGATTTCCACTGTGTAAAACTCCTATCTCAGATGAACAACTATTATCAATGTTGACATGCTGGTGTCTCAGAATAACTTTGCTATGTAACAGTCCATTCCTATAAATATTTGTAGCTCAGACTTGTTCTTTAAGTTATGGAAACAGTGGTAAATTCTGTCTTTGTTGCATCAGGTTCAAAGTTTTCTTTTGTTACAGTATCATGTTTTATTTTTAACATGGAAAATCGGAAGTTTCGATGAATTAATTAATATTTCTGAATTACCCTGCAATACAGTGTGAACTCAAGATGATTTCTTAGTAATTTTGTTGCTTTGCTGCTTACTGATAACATCTGCAGAAGACAAATATATTCTTTTTGAATGGTATCTGCCAGACTTTTCATAACAGTTGTGTGATTGCATTGCTAAATCTTTTATGTATTCTTCTTCTGTGGATATCTTTTTCCCCCCTGCCTTATGCGCAATATGATTCTGTACCTTTTGAGACTAAAAACTTCAGTCATTACAAAGAATGAATTGCAAGTGATAGCTGTCAATCTTCTTTTAATGCAGTATTGTTCTGTTTAAGCTATTTCTGTGTAACGTGTGTCTAAATTCCATAGAATTTTTGGATCTCTATTAAATTGCTCATGTATAAATTGACCTCAAGTATAAGTTAAGGGTAGGTTTTGGGAGCAAAATTATGGGTTTGATAAGTTGAGGATCCTTCCACAGAGAGGGGAAAGTGCCCAGGCTAGCTCAGAGGCCAGCTGTCCCTGGCCAAGGCTACTACCATGTTCTCACCCAGGTATTCAAAAGGTATTTCATGACTCTACTGAGGGAAGGGGATGAATCCTTTTTTATTAAAAGGTACAGCACAATACTAAAACACACACACAATTACACACACCATCCCCTCCTTTGAGTAGAGTTGCAAAACACAAGAGCTTAGTCCATTCTGGAAGAACCTAAATTAAGCACTGACTCCTCCTACTCTCATTGCTCCTTTGATGGGGAGCACAATTTCCCACCCAGACATACAAAGAGACAAAAGCAGCATAGCAGTGGAGAGAGCAGAGTGGTTGATACTTGTCTCAGTTTTTTTCAAGGGGACAGATTCAGTCTCCACCTCTCACCACTCTGTGCGGAGAAGTAAAGACTTCCTTGTTTACTAAAAGATAAGGTACAGCACTTACATTGACAGGGAGAAGTCAACCCAAGATTTTGGTGTCAATTTTTTGACTAAAATTACTAGACATATACATGAGTATATGCAGTCGTTATTTTATTTCCATAACTGCATTTGCTCTACACCCAATGTCTACCTTGCCACTCTGTTGAAATACATGGTATACTTCTCTTGCTTCCTGCAGAGTTATCCAATAACAGTGCTTCATAATTTTTAAGGGAGTGGTTGGAAAAGAAAATAGTTGGAAAAGAAAATCTGGACTACAAGGATTGCAGTGGAGAATGGCAGAAAATAAATATAGCATTAGAAGATCAAGTCACATAACTAGATGTCATTTTAATGTCTGCAGTTAAAAAACCCAATAAAGAAAAGCAATGATAGACTAGGATAAATAATATTATTTCCACAACTAACCTTGTACAGCAAAGGTAGATGTCCTAACTTCAAAAGTGCAATTTTTCCAGAGATATTTGTCATATGTTGAATCCTGAGCAAATCTTCCACTGTCCCATACTGTACATCCAACACCTCATCCTATAAAAAAACAGATTTTTTTTAAAAAAAATCATTCTTTTAAATAGCTTATTCTATTTAAATGTAATTATAATGATTATACAGATGGCATCCACTGACAGCCAATTCTCACATTATGTGGTGACATACACCTGCTTCTAAATCCAACTGCATGACAGTGGTATGAGTTTGTATGTGTTTGCAAACATGAATATTTCATTTGCGTGAACTACATTTATGGGTATCCAGTTTATGCGTGCTTGCACAGAGAAAGAGTGTGCAGGAATTCATTTTTGATTACATATTATTCCAATTATAATAACTGGATTTTGCAAACTCAAATCATGGACTTAAATTTTCAAGAGCAGAGGTGGAAAAAGATTACTTAAAAATGAAGACTTAAGCTCCCTGAATCCCCTAGCAAGCATGACAACAACCATATATTTCAAACTGTGGCATAAGGGTACTACAGGCAGATCTATGTCATGTCTCTCCCCTCAGCCCCCCAGCCTCACCACTATACCCCTCCAAACCATTCAGTGGAGGACTGTACCAAAAAATGTTCCAAACTCAAGATTTGAAGATCTATTTATATTCTTTTCCATTGAGAACATGACTGAAAAGCACTTCCTTCTACCTATGCATCCAACCAAGTGCTCGGATGTTATGATTTTTACAGTATAATCCCTAGGCCTGTCATGGCTTCAAGAGTTATGATTGTTAGATTAGGCCTAAGTAATGGTGCCTCTGGTGTACCCAGATGTTCATGTTAATCTTTCCTTTTTTAATATGTGAGGTCAAATAGAGTTTATAAGGTAAAATAGAGGCTATGAGATTAGATGTGTGTAATGGCCTCAGCAGCCATTGGATGAAAGTTTATGAAATAAGCTTCATGGAAACTATTTTCTATGCCTGGTGGGTCAGATCATGGCTTGGTTTAGTCCTGGTCCTTTAGCATTCTTTGCAAAATCTCATTAACAAATTCCAGCAAGCCAATTTGGAAGTCTGAGGCTGGGCTAGAGCCTGGAATACCCTTTTTTCAAAAGTCATTACAACAAGTGACAGGTATACATGGGACATGGATCATGGGAGATGTATTTTGGTGGAGCACCAGCCTTATTTGACAGAGAAGACAAAAGACATTGTAAAACTACAATTTCATGATTCCATAGCATTGCACTTTGGCATTTAAAATCCAGTCAAACTACACAGATTCTACAATGTAGATGAACCCTACGTCAGAAATGAGGTGGCTCAGGCCAAGAAATGTGGTTTAGTTACATAACTAAGATGGTAACATAACTAAGTAGCATATATAGAATTCTGGCCAATACCAATGAGAATAACAATGACAAGGGATGAAAAGGAAGAAGGGGGGATGCAAGAGCCTCACAGCACCTTAAAACTAACCAATATTAATTAGGCTTGTGCAATTTGGTCAAAAGGCATGTCGTTTTGGGGTCCATTTTTGGCTAACCCCTCATTCTGTTTACCGGGAACTTAGTTGAATTGGGGGAGTATTGCCATTTTCATTCGGCAAAGATTTGGTCCATTGGCTACAATGAGAAAATTTTAAGGCGCAATCCTCAGTCATTTTAAGGCCTATCTGCATGAAACCTACCTCGGTTTTGGACATCATTTACAACTACAGGTCTGCCAAGCTTCAGAACAATTCACCAGTCTACTGATTTTTAAAAATTGTTTTAAGTTTTCTACCATAACATTTTTTAAAATAATTTTTAAAATAATCTGGGAATTGTAGTCGCCATTTGTGTCCATTCTCAGCCAATTAGCGCATGAACACAACGAGGCCTTTTATTCGCTGAGAAACACACACACAGAGAAAATTCAACTCCCATCAATCTCCAAGGGAAACTAAAAGAATTTTCAATGCTTGCCCCATGCAAGTGCTGCTGGGAAAGCGAGTACTCACCGGGACCCTCTCTGGAGGAGGAGCTTAGGGAACTTTTCCAAAAGAAATTGACAGCACTGCTGGGGAGGAAGAAAAGATGCTGTAGGGCAGTGGTTCTCAACCTGTGGGTCCCCAGATGTTTTGGCCCATAATCCCAGAAATCCCAGCCAGTTTACCAGGATTTTTGGGAGCTGAAAGCCAAAATATCTGGGTACGCACAGGTTGAGAACCACTGCTGTAGGGAATCCCGTCTTCTTCAGGAGCCCTGTGGCAGACCTCTCCATTCTACTTACAGAGGACTACATGAAGCAGAACCCCAAATATTACAAATCACTTTTGATCAAACTGATCCAGGCCCAAGACTAATATTTATGGTACAAGATCTTCCCCCAGAAAGAGTCCATTTTATTCATCATAGATTTAAACATTGGAGTGGTTAAACAGACTGTCTTGTTGTTGCTTTGCATTGTGCTTCTATTTGACCTGTGTTTGCATTATTTCCTGCCATATATTTCCCAACTCAGAGTAGATACTAGTTCAAGAAAGCTTATAGCAAAATAAATGTGATTACCTTCTTTGTATTCACACAATATCTCCCTAAGCTCTCTAGCAAGTGTTTGAAAACAGTGTTTCTTGTACATGACTGTAGGATCCCCAGGCTGGATGAGGTCTATTCAAAGTGTTGCAGTACAAAGCCTACAAAATGTATACATATTGTGAAAGTGTTAATCCTGTCAATAATGTGTTCAGGGCATGTAGCACACACTGTGTTAATGCACTTTAGCAGAGCATGTACCTTTTATGCAACAAAGCCAACCACTTTAGATGGAACGGATTTCTGTGATGCTCTAGTTTCACTTCTAGTGATGTTAAAATTATATAATCCTGAGCGCTATACATTCTGAATATTAAAGCAGAATCACTGGCAGCAATGTACAGATAAAATGCTTTCCTTTTGTCAGGAGGAGGATAATGCTATTTAAAAAAAACAAAAGAGGAACGTTGCCTTTTATCAGTTGCTAAGGAAAAAAAACACTTGTGCATTTGCTTTAGATAGGCAATGTTAAATCCTCTTATACCTAAAACTATGGAACTACTAAACATTTTGATTCATCCACTCAAACTGGGTACTTATGCTTAAACCCACAATCTGTAGAACTAAAAAAAATCTTAAGTATCTCAAGTAAAATCCAGCTTTATGTAATAGAATAAATGATATTCATGAAATCATAACAAATAAAGGCTTTGAACAGTAAATGAATTAATTAGGATTTCCATTAGCTTTGAGGGGATGTGGCTGGATTGCTTCATATACGATCAGTTATTTCCTAGCATTAATGGTATGCCCTTTCAGCTCCTTTAGCCTTAAAACAATTTCTACCAAATTTGCTGTTATTGTGTCCATCCTGGCTCAATCAGACCACTCAAAGTACCACTCCAAGAAATGAAAATCTCATTCCAGGCACTGACTGCTTCCCAATCTCCTTTCTCCAAGCAGCAACTCAAGTAAGTCAAGTGCCAATTTCTTATAAAGAGAAGAACCCTACAGACAAAAGAAATAATCCAAGATAAACATATAAAGGAATACATCTCAGTGGACTCAGATTTACTTCTAAAGATGGCATTACAAGTGCCTTTTATATAAAGATAGCATATGGCAACAAGTCAATCACTTTCAGAACATGATTTTGAAGGAAGGTGAAACCCTATATTTTAGAATGTTAAGAAATAACTGTAAGAGCATAGAGGATAGAACCAGATAAATATCTGACTAAACCTGTTTTAGAACCTAGCTGCTGCTGCTGCTGCTGCTGCCCAACATTCAATGCTATCTTCATTTTTAAGGATGAATTCAGTCTTTGCTATTTGGTTGGCTTGTTTGAGCATTGGACTATGACTCTGAAGACCAGGCTTTGATTTCTCCCTTGGCCATGGAAACTCACTGTGTGACCTTGGGCAAGTCACATACGCTCAGTCCTTGAAAATCCTGTGATAGGTTTACCTTATGGTCACCATAAGTCAGAAATGATATGAGGGCACATAGCGACGACAACAACAGGGCCACAATGGTTGGCCAGGTGGAACCACTGCTGTCTGTGATGCAGAAATGTAGCTGGGGGACACCATTCTGCTCTTACTTTTGTACAATAGCTGGTAGTCATGGAAACAGGGCTTGTCAATGGGGTGGACATTTTTGCTCCTGATAATTTCTGACTGATGTCCACATAAGCAATCAATGGCTGGTACAGTTGTTTCACTTTGATAAAGTACTTCTCCACTACTGCTTGCTGAAATAGAACAGAGAAACATAAAAAGGTCCCTCATCTGAAGTTGCCTAGTGAACTGTTACTGATATGTGGCATGCCATTTTGGGGAGATGGCTAGTGGTGGATCGACTGTAGGCACAGCCAGATTCTAACATCTACCACATGAATCTTTGTCAACAATGGACTAATGTGTTGTGTGGAATTGCTATAAGGACAAAGAACAATTGATCTCCTGACTCTGTCCTTCTGCTCCTTGGAGAAATTCCAGGATAGAAATGAAGTAAAATAAATAAATAAGGATGCCTTCAGCAAATCCCTTTGAGTTCCAAGAGCAATAAAAGATTAAAAGAAAGCAGCCAGGCTCAGATGAGAAATTAGTAATCACCGTGCAGCCAACTTTTGACATAATGTCCATTTTGGATTGGAAGAAGTAGCCATTGGTTTGTCAACATTAAAATGAGCTGCAGGCAATTTACTCTGTTTTTGTGACTATCTGAAATGAAACACATGTTACTTTTTAGTATCTGAACATCAGGTAAACCACCTTTTCAAGATACTGAGGGGTTTAATAAAAGGCAAGTACCTCTTCAAAGTGATAGTGTGGTATAGTAATTTGAACATAGGGCTCTGTCTCTGGAGACAAGGATTTTAATCACTGCTTAGAATCACAGAATCATAGAGTTGGAAGAGACCTGTGGGCCATCCAGTCCAACCCCCTGCCAAGAAGCAGGAATATTGCATTCAAATCACCCCTGACAGATGGCCATTCGGCTTCTGTTTAAAAGCCTCCAAAGAAGGAGCCTCCACCACACTCCAGGTCACAGAGTTCCACTACTGAACAGCTCTCACAGCTAGGAAGTTCTTCCTAATGTTCAGGTGGAGTTCCTGTAGTTTGAAGCTATTGTTCCACATCCTCCTCTCCTGGGCAGCAGAAAACAAGCTTGCTCCCTCCTCCCTATGACTTCCTCTCATATAATTTATATATGGTGGTTATCATGTTTCCTCTCAGCTTTCTCTTCTGCAGGCTAAACATGTCCAGCTCTTTAAGCCGCTCCTCACAAAGCTTGTTCTCCAGACCCTTGATCCACCCTTCTCTGGACACATTCCAGCTTGTCAACATTTCCTGTCAATTGCAGTGCCCAGAATTGGGCACAGTATTTCAGGCATGGTCTGACCAAGGCAGAATAGAGGGGTAGCATGACTTCCCTAGATCTAGACTCTATGCTCCTATTAATAAAGCCAAATTCCCATTTTTAGTTGCCATGTGACATTTTTGGCTCATGTTTAACTTGTTGTCCACAAGGACTCCAAGATCTTTTTCACACATGTACTGCTATGGGGCCAGGTGTCCCCCATTTTGTATCTTTGCATTTCATTTTTTCTGCCTAAGTGGATTGGCCACAGAATGGATGATCATGGATATGTCTCACTTTCTCAGTCTCAGAAAAAGGCAATGCTAACCCTCCTTCTCAACTAATCTGGCCAAGAAAACCCATGATAGTTTTAATTTAGAATCACCATAAATCAGAAATTAATTGAATGCTCACAACTTTCCCCCTTTACAACAAAAGTGAGCTCTAGGAGTCTGAGAGCAAAACATAACTCAACTACCATGTCCCATGCCACCCCTAACATTTCCATCATTTTTTAAAAAAATCCAAAGGCCCTGTACACCCTTTACAACAGAGATAGGCAACTGCATGAGGGCCAAGGACAATTTCCCAGACTTCCCATGTGCTCACCCCAAATGTCTTCAACTGTACCTATCTGCATATGATTAAAAGAGGAAAAAATAAATAAAAAGCTACTTCTCGCTGTTTCTTCTAAACCAGTGCTTCTCAACCTGTGGGTCTCCAGATGTTTTGGCCTCCAACTCCCAGAAATCCCAGCCAGTTTACCAGCTGTTAGGATTTCTGGGAGTTGAAGCCCAAAACAGCTGGGGAACCACAAGTTGAGAACCACTGTTCTAAATGATGGGAAACCAAAAGTGTCTCAATTAATAACTCAAATAAATTTGTAAAATAATTCAGCTAATGCAAATCTCTTTTTCAATTCTTAGATGAGAGGTAGAACTGAAAGATATGCAGCAGAAAATTCAAAAGGATAAGAAAGTATTCTAATGACCTTATCACACTTAATCCTCTAACATTTCAGGGGCTAGAATATGACCACAGGGCTATTTGAATCACCCCATGAGCTGTGCGCCTACCTTCCTCCTTCCTGTGTGAGGAAAATGGAAGGGTTGAGGAATCGCTCCGGGTTGCAGGGCACTGTGTCACTTCCCCTCATCAGTTGGGGGAAGCACAAAAATAGCAGAAAAAATTGAAAATAGCAATAAACTTATCTATATCACAGGAGCTGCCCATGATGTAGAAATTTGCGGTGGCTGATAGCATCTGATGAGCATCCCCAAAATATACCGAAAGGGATGTGACCAGCTATGCATCATGTGAAGGGACAGGTTGGTGGCCGTAAATTTGGTAAAAAGAAGTGGAGACTAGTGTTATATTGCCCAAAAAAAACACCATCTGATGAGGTCACAAGGAAAATTATTTTCATAACAAGGAATGAAATGTACCGAGGGACTAGAACAATGGAAAAAAATGTGGCTTTGACTTTCTATGCCCAAACACCATATACCAAATATTAAAGAAATGCTGTCAGAGATATGATAAATCCTCTGCATAGTTATTGCAACCATGCTCTACAAAATCATGTACTGACCCTACCTGTCGTTATAATGGGGTAAACTTTGTCATTTTTCCAGCATGCAATGAATTACAGAAAGTTAGCAAAATTGGGCCATCCATCAGTTGTACTAAGTGTGTTTTCAAAAGAAGCTTTCATACACCAGAAATGCTGCTCCCACTGTTACTCGAAAGCACAAATTGGAGATCCAGATACAAAAATGGCCACAAGATGAATGGACATGACAGCTTCTCAAAGAGGCAGAAAGCTGCTGCTTGACAAATGTTATCAGAACCAAAAAGACTCCTTGAGCTTGTCTGGCAGCTAGACTTTGGAAAGCCATTAATAGCTCTTTTTGCTGGTAGTTCAAGTGAAAAGGGGAGGGGGAGACAGCAGCAACAGGGATAAATCCAAGACACATAACCAGCTATATTTATAATATCACTTCAGATGTTATCCATTACAAATGTGGTGTACTTTGTAACGGGTAATTATCACACATTTTGATAACGTTGTACATTGTTTGGAACCACAACTGCCAGGGTCTCACAAGGGGCATTCCAACACTTCTCATTGTGAACTAAAACTCCACGGAATTCTCATTCCCAAAAGGTGCTGTTCAGAAAGGGGATTTCTAGGAGTTACAGTCACCAAAAACAACTTTACGAAGCACCAGAATTCAAAATGACCTTAACAGATTAGAGAGTTGGGCCAAAACTAACATAATGTACAGTATTTTAGATGGGGATCTCAAAGGCTCCATGGCCACATAAGTTCCAAATTTCCATGGAGGGCCATTGTAAACACCCAACCCCTGATAGTTGTCTATCTCATCTTAAAGTGGTCACATTAGGCACTTAAACCACCTGAGCTCTGCGAGTGCAGCTTTTTTCCAAATGAAGCGGAGAGTGTTTGAGGATAGGGACATCCGTAGGGATAGCACGGTGCTTGTTTATAAAACTATTGTCCTCCCAACCCTGCTATAAGCCTGCACGACGGGGACTGTCTACAGATGTCACATGCAACTCCTGGAATAATTCCATCAGTTCTGCCTCCGGAAAATCCTGCAAATCTCTTGGAAAGACAAGCAGACAAATGTCAGCGTGCTGGAAGACCACCAGCACTGAAGCGATGGCCCTCCACCATCAACTCCGCTGGACTGCCCACGTTGTCCAGATGGCCGACCACTGTCTCCCAAAACAGTTGCTCTACTCCAAACTCAAGAATGGAAAATGGAATGTTGGTGGGCAGGAAAAGAAATTTAAAGATGGGCTCAAAGCCAACCTTAAGAACTCTGGCATAGATACTGAAAACTGGAAAGCCCTGGCCCTTGAGTGCTCCAGCTGGAGGTCGGCTGTGACCAGAAGTGCTATAGAATTTGAAGAGGCACGAATGGAGGGTGAAAGAGAGAAACGTGCCAAGAGGAAGGCGTGTCAAGCCAACCCTAACTGAGACCACCTTCCACTTGGAAACCAATGCCCGCACTGCGAGAGAAGATGCAGATCAAGAATAGGGCTCTAGAGTCACCTACAGACTCACCAGTAAACTGATCTTGGAAGGCTATGCTACACAGACGACGAGGGATCGCCTAAGTAAGTAAATGGTGATGTTTATATTTGGCATCATTGATCTATAGGTATTAAATGCTAAGGGCCAAACTTCTAAGTTGCAAACTGGCAAATTTTCTTCCAAAAAAGAAAGTGGAAAAAGCCAATTGACTACAGATAGCCAGCAAAGCCAATAGTAATAGCTGATGGTTTTTGCAGTTCAAGAAAACCTAGAGGTGTTGATATTGTCCTCTCTAAAATAATCTTTAAAATGTTAACAACAGTCAATAGAAAATCTTCGTAGGATGATGATAGAATTGAAAATATCACTTACTGCATCTGCATGTATCCAATAATGAAGTAGAGAATAACCATAAAATACAAAGTAACTGTAGCATCCAGTTAAAAAGATATAAAGCATAATATAGATGAAGCATGCCAAGAATTGAGCGATACAGTAGGCTGTATTGTAAATGTTTACCCAGACCTCTTCAGATTGTTTTGAACTCAGCCTGTGATACATCCTTTCATTGGTTTAAATACAGAAAAAAAGTTCTTTCCTTTTCTTTCGATTTTCTACTAAAATGACAAAGACAAATGGTCACATTACCGTCAGAGTTCCTTTGGCAGAGTAAGCAGCGTAGGAATACAGAAGGTCTTGACTGTGGAGCTTTGGGGTCTCTTTGTTACACGGCTGTCCAGTAGGATAAAAGCATTCACCAGTACTATTCAGAGTCACTGAATTTGGAGAAGAGCTTGGTAGGTCAAGCAGGACAGAGTAATTTACAAGCTGGACATCTTCAAGGCCAAAGGATGTCCACTGAACCAGAATCTTCATTGCAACATCTCGGTCTTCTTTTCCATGCAACTGTATCAAATCTCTAGCAAGAAACAAAGAAAAAATTGGATTAACAGATTTTTTTTCTCTCTCTCATTGTGAGAGGTACTCTCAGCGTTATTCATGTGCCATTGGATCCAGAGGGTTCCTTGAATTTAATTCTTTATGTAGAGAGAAAGAGGTTGAAAAACTCCATATGTTTTGAACTTCAGGAGAATTGTCGTTAGTTCATATCACAATCACCCCTTCAACAATTTTTATAATGTTAGAAGGCTTTATGCAGTACGCATAGAATCACAGAATAAATATATAAAAATGAAAGGACTGTGAAGCACATAGGCCTGGGAAATTGAACAAGTGTGATAAAACCACAGAAAAAAAGGTTGTATTTTATTTATTTGTTTGAATAAATAACCTTTTTTTACTCCCAAATCCTAAAACAGCTCCAGATTTTTGAAAGGTACAGATAAAAACAATTATTATCATAGGAGCAACTCAGAATTAGACAAATTGTGGTGCTAAAATAAAAACATTTTAAAAATACATAGTACACATTCATAAATACAGGCAAAGGGGAACAGCACACCATAGCTGCTCCCAAATAAAGACACGGGACGCATTCTGGTATCACTGGAAACTTTTACTACAGGATGCATTGACATACGAGAAGCCGAGAGTGCCAGGCAGCAGCCTGCAATCCCTTTTATACCCTCCCCCACATTCAAAGGAACAATTCCTGCCAAAAGTGAAACCCTGCAAAATCCACCCGCCAAACCCCTCAGCCGTTTTCTCTCAGGGTCAGACATTGCAGGTGCCTTATCGGTGTTTATTGTCAGTGGCCCTGATTTCTGGCACCAGAATCCAGGCCTGAAAGCTGGGTCCTGACAGATCATTCTCGTGTCCCTGTTGTCACTACTCCCAGTTGGCCAGAGAGCTCTGCATGAGCTCTTGGCCACTGCTGGTGCTCCATATGACATCAGCGTATGTGCTCTTGTAACCAAAGAGAACGTGAGGACATCAGCTACCTCCTTCCTAGTTATGCCGGCGCTTTTACCGGCATCAGCAAAAGTCACCTGTGATAGCCAGGAGGTCACACAGAGCTTTGTAGCTATCTGAAAGTGTCAACGACAACATGGCCAGTGAGGTGACAGTCTCATGTGGCCAACATGGTCTCATCCTGTTGGACCATGTGGACTCCAAACCTCTATTATTCCCTACTATAGCAATTTCAGAAGAGTGAGTGTGGTTGCCTAAAGAGCCAATCTGGAGAATTTCTGCGCCATGAATTTGCTGGTAAAGTAAAGGTATTGTAGGCAATGGAGCCATTAAAAGTTGGTCGACAAATGCACCCCTCCGGCACTGATGGCACTTGAATTTCCATGAGAAAAAGCAGTTTTTTGTGCAAATTATGTATAACACATTGTTTCCTTGGATAAAATATTTTTTTCTGTGAAAAAATCCTTTGCAGCACTCAAAATGTTCAGATGCAAGGAGGATATGAACAATAAATATTCACTTTCTACTTAGAACAGGGAGAAAACTAAAGACCTAATTCAGCCTTCCATGTAAGAGAAAAAATAATCAAGGATTTACCATCATGACTGAACATTATCAAGCCATACATATGTTCCTTCAGTTTTGAACTGATTTTTTTTTCTTACAGGTTTATTATACTGTTTTATGGTTCCTCTTGACACTTTATCTGATACCATTTCTTTACATTTGTTTCTGTATAATAGTGCTTTTTGACTGTCCAAGAAATATAATCCTGAATATTTTGGGATACTTTGTAGTAGTCTGCAATGCAGCATGAAAAGGTGAACACTGAAAAAGAGATTCTGAGTCCCTGTATACATATGGGATGCTTGGATCTATCCCACTATCTAGTTGGAAAAGCCTTATGGTGTGTGCCCAGCTTTAAACAAATGAGAATGACATTCACCATCTGTGGTCTATTTTAATTTCAAATAAAGTGTATCCACACGTTTCAAGTGCAGCAGGCTTATGTTAAAGACTTGTGAGCTCTTTTCAAGAGGAAAACTAGTCAAAGGTCAACTCTCTGGATTTAATCTTTTCCACTTTATCTCCAATAAGTCCTCAAACAGGCTGCACAAAATAGACAAGTTAATCCAATCACTAGTACATTACAAGCCAGTGATTTCATCGTCTGTGCCCTTTAATGCAATGACACAAACTTGGACAGTCCCAAACGCACAAAGTCATTTGATTAACACAATTGCTACTACTTGAAAATCCACATTTCCCATAGGTATTGGAAGCATTAATAGAATAAATAATGGAAGGAAACACATCCCATACAGATAAGATGGAGGCCCTCCCCACCAGCTAGCTCTTCTGTTATCAAGGGAGGCAATTTCAAATGAAGAGTACAATTAGAAAAATCACTTCTTTCATTGCAGAATGAAGAATCCTTTCTCCTCTGTAATTAAATGAGTATGATATTGAAACTTTACTGACAATATATTTGATTGAATTAAATAAAAGCAAGCACATTTATTCTTTGACTCATAATTTCTTCAGAGAATATTAAAATTCAGATAGGAGTTGTGCCCTCAGCTTTATTAAAAACAAATCAGCAGGTATTAAGTGTTTTTAATTAGTCTTAGGAAAATTTAATCTAGCAAACAAGTGCTTTGAAAGTTTTACTAGCAAGATTAAGGCTATGATCATAAGCCTTTCTAACAGGAACTGTATCCCATTAGACTAACTGGAACTTATTTCTAAGCAAATGTGTTCAATATCATTGGGCAATATACAGTACTAATCCTCAATGTTACATATATCTCAGAGACTTAGAACCACATTCTTCTTGAAGTGTTCAAGTATTTGTTGTATCACTTGAGTCCCAATTTAGTCATAGGTAGCTTGGATTAGGTCCCACTGAAAGCAACAGAACGTACCAGCACATAGCATTATTTTCGATGGAACACAATCACTTTGGTGTTCATTGAATTCCTAGTAGTTCTTTAAATCCCATAAACTGGTTCATAGTTGGGATAGAAGAGAATATCATTCAGTTCAGTAAAGGGGATTTTCATATCTCTTGAGACAAAATGGGAGATCAAATAAACTTGCTCTTGAGAAAGCATGCATTTGCAAAACAATCAGTGAATTCTGGATAATAAATTGCACAAAAATCATGTACGTATTTTAAAAGACAGTACACCATTAGAAAAATGCACTCAAATATACTTTATTCAATTTTAAAAGTGATCAAGTTAGGTATTATTTATTTATTAATTCATTCATTTATTGTACTTCTATACCGCTCTTTTCACCCCTGGGGAGATTCAAAGCAGTATGCAACATACTAAATGGCAAATGCAATGTCTCACATATATAAAAATACATTACATATTTAAGTCATTATGACTGTAGATTAAAACCATTAAAACTACAAAAACATCAGATATAGGCATAGACATAAAATTTTAAATCGTTTTTAAACATTGCACCAATCCCAAGATTGTCATTTAACTACTTCAGTATTGCTATCACTCCTTGAATGCTTGCTTGAATAGCTAAGTTTTAAGTTGTTTTCTAAACACTAGGAGGGAGGGAGCTAATCTAAATTCTCTGGGGTTGGAGGTGGCACTACCGAGAAGGCTATGTCTCTCGTCCCCACCAATTGCACCTGCAAGGGCGGCAGGACCGAGAGCAGGATCTCCCTGGCCGATCTTAGCACTCTAACTGGCTCATAAAGGGAGTGATTTTGAACAGATAAGCTGTACCAGAACTGTTTAGGAATTTATAGACTAAAGCCAGTAACAGACTCGCAGCCAGTGGAGCTGACACAACAGGGGGGATGTATGCTCCCTGTACGCTGCTCCAGTAAGGAACCTGGTAAAAGGCAAAACCTAACAAACTTATTCAGAAAACAGTGTCCAAAATGTGCACGCATTTTCATAAGAAGCATCACACAGAGACTGGATTCCATAACATTCCCCACAACCCTCCAGAGCCTCCTTCATCCATATGTCATGTGGAACCCATCCCCTGAACTGAACAATTTGCTACAGGTGAACATCAATAGATTTAAGTTCACAATGTCTACCAGAAAGCTCCAGCAATCTGACTGCCATTGTGCATGGTAATAAAGAGGCTGGAGAGCATAAAACAATTTCTCTGTACAGCTCATCAGCTCATAACAGTCATAATGCTAGGATTGTCTGCCAGCTCAGTAGTGTGACACTTTCCAAAGGTGGAGGGAGATGACATTTTCTCTGAAGAAAAATAAACACTTACAGGGCACAAGCATTTTGATACACAATTGGCATTAATGGAGGTCATGAAGAGGGTGATCCCACATCACTAGCATAGGATGAGACATGATTTGCTGTAAAAAGATGGTTTTTTATTGTTTCCTCATAAAACAGACAAGTTATAGAAGCTAAAAGAAAAGAGATGATATGGTACACAAAGGCCCCATCTACACAGACGTATAATGCACATTGAATATAATGTTGTTAAATTGTATTATATGAGTCTACTACACTAACCATATAATGCAGTTTCAAATGACATTTGTATAGCAGCATAGATGGGACCCAAGTCATGGCAGATCCTTGTAAAAGGCATAGCTTGACTTAACGGGCCAGGGACCTTGCGGCGCGGGGCGTCCTCTGCCGCCATTTTTGCCTCAGGGGGCTTCTTCTTCCCAGAACCCCCTTTGGATGGTAGGAAAGTTTCCTGCTGTCCAGCTGAATGGCCAATGGCCAGCTGGCCAAACCTCACCTCACCTCTGGAGGGGCCGGGGCTGGGCCTCTCCCTCCCCACAGGCAGCCTATTTAAAGCTTCCCCAAGCTCCTGAGCAGGCACTGTGCCTGTTTTTTTTCCTATATTAGGAACAAGCAACCAGGGTTGGCAGCAAGGGGGGGTGGGGATCCCACCCCCCTTTTGTGGCATGGGGCATGGGCCCTGGATCTGGCGTGGTATCCCCCCCAGCAGAAGGGGAGGACGTCTGGTGGTCTCAGGGATGCTGAGTTTACATTGGCCCGGTATTGTGCCGGCGGCACCCTGGCG